CATAGCAGGAAAAACAAAAATAAAACAAACAGAAAAAACTAATTACGGCCATTAGAAATATATTTGCCTAATCAACTGATTATGCAAAAGAAATTGCAATGTTGTTTGCATTTGTCGTTGTCGATAAAAACGTAACGATATTAATTGCATTGTGTGTGTGTATCCAGTGCTTATCATTGATTGCTTAATCGATTGTCATGTATTATTAAATTCATATATTATATTTAATCTACACATATACATATGTATATATGTATTTATATGCATAACTCATAATGCTAACGAGCAAATGGACTGCGATTTATTTACGCTGAAATTAATGGAACAAAAAGAGAGAGAGAAAAAAAAAAAAAAAAAACAACATATAAAATAAATAAATGCAGACATAAAATGAAAATTGCATTTATTCAGCGCTGGGCGTGTGTGCTTAAATTAATAATTTCGCTTTATGAATTGTTTGTGTAATTTAAACTGAAATTATGCAATTAATCAAGCGTCAGCCAGAGCCGGCACAGAACTCACTCGGCAGCAGCTTCTCTTTTCTCTGATGTCATAAAACGTTTCTCAGCTGGAGCTGGAGCTGGATCAAGCCGAAGCGTGCATCCACGCTCCACAAGTAAACCAAATATGAAAGATACATATGTAGGCCAAAGTAAGAGAAATGACCTTAGCCATGTCGAAAGATTTGTAACATGCCAAAAGCGAACAAAACAAAAGGAAATAAAACCAAAAATACTAAAGTGAAAAAAAACGTAAGGTAAAAATCAAGGTACGAGCATAACGAATATTGAATACCTTTTAGAAGATGGAGCTTAGCAGTATCTGAGTGTAAAAGCTGCAAAGGATAAAGAAAGAGAGAAAGAGGGAGAGGGAGAGAGAGAGAGCTGTTGGAAATCGTGGGAAGTGATATTATATAGGCTGTTTGCCAAACGGAAAAGTTTATCAATCAAAATTATGAAGAATAAAAAAAAAAAAAACAAAAGTTTACATAAATAAATAATTATGAATAATTGAAACTCGTCTGCCTGAAGGCCTTGGTCGCTCTGGCTTAAAACTTGTTATTTAGAATTCTGTGTAACAATAAATAAATAAATAATTGAAACTTATATACTTACAAAGCTCTATTCAAATTGATCTTCACTTTTATACCATAAGTCCTCAAGGAAACTGAAAAGAATCTCTCGATCCACTCGACAAATATTTACATCAGGCTTTGCTACATTCAAATCATAACTCATATATTGTATTATACCTAAAAGGCTCATATGAGTGTCTGATTATTTCGTAATATCTATTCTGAAAATCTTGAAATCATTTCACACATTTTTCAGTCGATTAACAGTAAAGTACTTTGTGAAGAATATTTTGATCGCAGTTATGTATGTATGCATATATATTCCACTATATGCATATTTTGTCTATACAAGCAGCTAACTTGTCTCTCCTCTCGCTTGGGCGTTACGTTGCTTAAGAGTAAATCGAGCATACCCTCTGCTAGTGGTATTATAACTCAGAGAGACGCCAACGCCAAAGCCGAAACTGCGCATGCGCAATTGCTTAAGCTGAAAAACAGACGTGAAGGTTGCTTTCTTCGATGAGTTCTTGGCATCAGTATACCCTTTAATAATAATTACATGAGCTATATGGGTACAGCTAATAGATGTATATATTTGTATTTTTCTTTAATATGAATATATAATTATGAATGTTGTAGTTCGACTGAGTTGAGCGACAAAGTTTAGTGATAAACAAAAAAAAAAAAAAAAAAAAAAAAAAAAAAAAAAAAAAAAAAAACCCCCCTTTT